CAGCTCCCCATCATTGAGAGAGCAGCAGGAACCTTCAATGTATTGGATTTAAGTAATGGTTTGCCAGAGGGATGGGGCCCATGCCACGGCAATCAAAGCTACTCTGCACCATTAAGGAGCTGTAAGTGGAGTAGGAGGCGCAGTGCAGCTATTGACCGAGTAGGTGGGCATGAAAATGGGTTTAGGTAACTGTTTCCTGAGAGATGGAAAACACAAAGGAATGTTTCTCTGGCAGCTTTCTGGCTCCCTGATCCTCTCTGTCCACATCAGCATTTATATTGTCTGTCTCTCACATGCTTGTGCACAATGGCCAGTGTGCTGAGTTCAAGCTGTTCAGCTGCAGTCCACATAATGTTTTCCTGCTTGTATTTGCCCTCTCCCTATCTCTGCCATTTAAAAAAAAAAATCCCTGAACTAACAACATAAAAAAAAAATAAAAATAAAAATTTGCTTATATATTTTTATATCAAGCTGCCACACAGGCAGACCAAGTATTCATGAAGCTCTAGCCACTTTTTTTTATTGCTTCCTCCACCCCCTCTCTGCTGAGCCATGGCTTGTACAGAGAGGTGAAGAGGAGGCACATGAATAGCAATACTTTTTTTGTCCTTGTTGAGGGAGTAGCTAAGGGCAAATGGGCCCACACTGTGCTTTAGATAACCAGTGTTAGAGTGTCTGCTGTGAGACCAACCTGCAGCCTGACACCTGAATCTTTCTATAACAAACAGTCCTGCCAAGATTCCTGGACATCTCCCCAGTCTAATTTCCTAGTCAGTAGCTTGGATGTAAGCAATGAAGAGGAACCAGTTATCCATTCTTAGCTGATTGAGTCATGTGTTTTTTCTTCCTCTTTGGGTACCCAAGGAGGGCAGAGGTAGTGTCTGCCAGAGGTGATGCCTCCCATGGTTATCCTCCCAATGTTAACCTCTTGCCTGTTAGTGGGCTCAAAAGACAATGGATCAAAACTCCCCAAAACAGGTCCTTCTGCAAAAGAACGTGCTGACCATCATTTGCTGCACATTGCTTCCTGTGAAGCAAAATTAGGAAGGCTAAACTGGCGTCCTAACACATCCTGACTCTCACTGGAATCTCACTAAAGTGTCTTGGGCCAGCTCTTTCCAGTGCAAGCATTTTAAGCAAGACACCTTGATCCATACCAAAGGGCCTGAATGCAGCATCCAAGTGTGAAAACATTGGCAGCTGTCCCATTAACAAAACAGAAATAATACCCACTCACCTCTGGGAAGCATATGGAGCACTTCTGATTTATTATTTGTTTTATTTATTTTGTCACATTTATCAGCCATTCAACTCTCTGGGCACACAGCCCACACATTAAAACCCAGAGTATAACACAAAGATCTCCTCTAGCCTGAGAATATCCTTTCTCTAAAACCAGGCCTGGGCAGGAGGGAAGGATGAAAGATGCTTTACACAAGAGAAGGATGACAACAATATATTTTTCTCCAGTTCTATTGTTGATGGAACCATTCTGAAAATGTTGGTGACATCAAGACAAGAAGATGGGAGCATTAAAAAGCATGGGGGGTGGTGGTGGAAAGCCATCCTGGAGCATGGACACAGAGACTCAGCCTCTAGCCAGCCTGTCTCACACACAGGAAGTCTCTAAAATGCTCTTTCCATTATTATTTCTCTAATGACCCCATTAGACACGTATGAAATTCTGAGAAGCTTTAATATGTTGTAGACAGCCACACTGGCAAATCTGCCCAGCTTTTCTGAGGAATGGCAGGCTGCATTGATGAATGTTTTAAAGCATCCCAATGTGTAATTTATTTCCTGGAAATTAATTGCATGTGCTGGTTTCATTTTCCGGTAGCAAATAATCAGTCTGCTCCTTTTTAATTAGGTAACAACATAGATTCCTCTACTAATCATGACACGATGTTTTATGCACGTCATGTCTTTTTCTATGGGAAACAATTTCAAATCATTGTCTAGGGCCCAGCACAACTTTAAAGAGACATGAGATTATTTATCAGTGGTATTGCCTGGGTCACTGCCAATGAAGACCTTGTACACAAGACCAGCTAGAGTACCCAGACTGGGCATTGGTGCAGGCAATGGCCTCCTCAAGGAAAAGTTTAGGGAAGAAACCAAATTAAATGAAATTTCAATGGCATTGTCATGATGTCAGACCCAGGTGCCAAGAGGTGTGTCTCATCTTGCAGGTATTCACTGGTCCCTGAGCTGAGCTATTCCACTGACATTAGCCATATTGCATAGACTGTATCAATAATACTTTTGGTCCACATGAAACTCAGCACTTTTGTCAGCTGTTCCAGCTGGAATGCAAATACCAAGTTCCAGTTGAGACCTAAGCTCCCCCTAGCATTCAGAGGCTGCATGCAGGGTCTTCATGGACACACATAGCAGGATGGGGTGGGGAAAGCCACTTCTGCTGATGATTGCAGAGAAGAGCTAATGGCCAACAGCAGCTGCTACTTAAAATTTTCAAACAGGCTGAGAGAGTAAAAACTATTGGCCTTGACATCCATTCATTACTTGCAGCAAAACTCTAATTAAGCAATAGTGTTCCGTCATATTTACCCTCCACTGGGCTACAAGGAACCCATATTTCTACTGAAATACATGCTACTGAAACAAAACAAATCTATCAGCAAAAAACGCTGCTGGAGTAAAATGTAAGAATGATATCATAGCTATTAGACCGTGAAAACCTCTGCAACAAATTAATCTGCTAGGGAAAAGTTTGTTGGTGGGGTTTCGGCTTCCTGCTGGGAACATTTAAAACCCTCACCACTACCCGAGACACCGCCGCTCCTGCGGCCTCTGCCTCCTGCCCCTGGAAGTTCCCGAGTGTTACAGGATCCGCAGCGGCCGGTGGGAGCTGGAAACCCGCCTGGAACACGCCGGGGCGCCGAGGCTTTGCCGCCTTCCGGGTGCCCCTCGGCGGCGGGGCCGCATCCCGCAGAGCTGGGCTCGGCGGGGCCGGTGCGGGGCCGGTGCGGGCTCGGCGGGGCCGGTGCGGGGCTCGGCGGAGCGGGGCTCGGCGGGGCCGGAGCGGGGCTCGGCGGAGCGGGGCTCGGCGGGGCCGGGGGCTGAGCGGGCGGGCCGGGGGCGCAGCGCCGGCGGAGCCTCCGCGCCCCGCCCCGCGCCGCCCCGCCCGGCGGAGCTGTCCGCGCCCCGTGGTGCTGAAGCCGCAGCGCCCGCCCAGCCCCTTCCCCGCCCCTCCTCCCTTCCTCCCCGGCGTGGGCTCTCGCAGGCAGCCGGCAGCTCGGGGCATCAAAGGTTGGGAAGGGCTCCATTCCTCGCTTTGATTCTCCCCCTCTCACCCCGCCTTTTTGCTTTTTCTTTCTCTCTCTTCTTTTTTTTTTTTTTTTTTTTTTTTCCTCAAGCTGGGGGAGGAAGAAGAGCGCGGCCACGTCCCACCCCTCCCTTCCTGCAAATCCCTGCTCGCACTGCAAACAATCTGCCTTCCCCATTGCATCCAAGGGAGATAGCAACAGCAACATCATCACGGCAAGCCGGATGGGAGAGCGGAGAGGAGGCTGCTGCTGAGGGAGGAAGGCACACACGCACACACCAGCTCGATGTTGCCAAAGCGGTAGGAACCGCACGAAAAATAAGCCATGCTGCCCCATATGTCTGGCGCATTGTGCTCCATCCAAGCCTTTTAGGAGGAAGAAGAGAATTATCTGCTCCGATTTTTTTTCCCTGCCAGCGAGAGTGCGACAGACTTGCGATGGTTGAATGTCAATGCCTGTGAGAGAGAGCAACAGTCAGAGCAGGAGGAGGACAGAAGGGGAGGAAAATGAAGGTGGGGACGGTGGAGGAGAGAAAGAAGGAGCCTCGTCCAATGCATCAAAAGGAGGTCCCTGCAATTGCTGATAGAGCCCCGACCGCCTCGCCATCCACAATGGTCTGTGCAAGCTGCCAATGCGTTTGATGACGTTCCTGTTTTGTGAAAGGAGGAAAGGAAACGTGACCATGTAAGATCCACGTTTCGCCGGTCAATTACATGCGAAGAATAGATCCGATTTCGACGTGGGTTTTTGGTCCAGGATGGTAACAGCTTAGGGAATAATACAGCCGCCTTCCCTCATCAATTTCGCCCTGATATTTTTTTTTTGTGCGTGGTCCAGACAGCTGCTGGAATAGAGAAGGTCAGAATATAAAAATATATATAAAATATATATGATATATATATTATATATATAAAAATATATTTGTCTCAGTACATCTGGGATTAAGCTCATTGAATGCTAATTATTTCTTTCCGGACTTTTAATATTTACAATGAAATCTTTTAAAGGCAACGGTAAAATCTGAAGCCACCTGGGAGCACAGTGTTGAAAACGTAGGGTGTTTTCCCACAAACAATGTGAAGGTCTTTTTTGTCAAAGAGGCAATTTTGATAATAACAACAGCTACCAATTTTGCATTTTGATAGCCAGACCAGCTGCTATTTTGTCTGGATGCACACCGGGAATCGTGTGATCGGGTTTTATTTTTTAATTGAAAAAAAATTATTATAAAATAGAAGAAAAAGGAAAATTACTTGAGATGCCAAATACTGTCGAGAGAACCATATTCTCTCTCCTCCCCACACCCACCGGAGACGTGGACCCTTCTTTTTTACAGGCTTAGGAGTTGTGAGAGCCGATCGGGGCTTTCTCCCGAGACCGCCGCCTGCGCCCCTGGACCCTCGGGCGTGGGAGATTTATTTCCTCCTCCCGCTGATTTCTAAGCAAACTTGTGGAGGGGGAAAGGATCCCTCGGCAGCACAGAGTCGGTTTTTTTGCCGGTGTGGATTTTTTTTTCAATCGCCGTCCCCGCCGGGTCGCAGCGGGCTGCCGGGGACTCGGCCCCCTCGCCCTCCGGCTCTGCTTTTGTGCGTTCCCCGGCGGCCAGCGCAGCCCCCCCGGCACTGCGGCCGCCGCGGAGCCCCCCCGGCCGCGGGGCGCCCGGCTCCTGCCCTTTTCTTTCCCCCGTGCCCGCCTGCCAAGGAAAGGCACATGTTAATACCACCCGGCGCGGGCATTTTCTGCTACTGCTGCTGCGGGCTCCTCCGTCCGAGACAGATGTTGCGAAACCAAGGCCTCCTCAAGTGCCGCTGCCGCATGCTCTTCAATGACCTGAAGGTCTTCCTGCTGCGGAGACCCCCCGCGCCGCCGCCGCCCTCCCCGCCGCCGCCGCTCCCCATGCCCGGCGGCGCAGAGGCGGCGGCGGGGGCCGCACCGCCCGGGGGGCGCGGGCCCGGCTGGCGGGCGGGCGGCGGCGGCGGCGGCGCGGGCAGCCCGGCCGCCGAGGAGTGGGGCAGCCCCGCCGGGGAGCCGCCCGCCTCCCTGCCCAGCAGCACCTCCTCGGATGACTTCGGCAAGGGCAAGGCCGAGGACCGCTACTCGCTGGGCAGCAGTGTCGACAGCGGCATCCGCACCCCGCTCTGCAGGATCTGCTTCCAGGGGCCCGAGCAGGTGAGCGACCGCGGGCGGTGGGCGCTGGGCTGGGCGCCGCGGCGGGCCCGGTGGCAGCGATGCTCCGCCTGAGGGACCCAGGGCCTGCTGCTTGAGGGGCTGTCCCTGTTGCTCGGAACAGGAACCCAAACCCAAAGGGGCTCTGCCTTCTGCCCAGGCCCCGGGCTCCAGATTTTGCACCTCGGTAGCGTTTCCCAGGGAGGTGTGGCGTGGAGGCGTGCTCCGTCCTTTTCTGCTTCCCGGCAGCCTTGCCCCGGGCACTCATGCCCAGCCTGAGAGCCGTACAGCCGTGGCATGGCAGGAGGGACATGCTGGCACCTTCATAGAGCCGAGCACTTCTCAGCAAGGGAGGCTGTTCGGTGCTTTGTGGGTACCCAGTTGCAATGATTCCAAAAGTGACGCAGAGGAGGAGTTCAATGTACTCTTTGCTTTTAAAAATACAACTTGAGTCTGTACAAAACACGTGGCACAAGACAACCCCACTTCAGTGTTTCCCAGGGGATGGCTAATAGGAACTGTGCAGGTGCTCCAGTGCTCCCATGCTCCCAGTTGCACTATCTGCAGGAGAAACACGGCTGGCTACGATTGTACCTGCTGAAAATGCAGCCCTGAGGTGCTCCGTGGTACAGACTGAGGATAGGCCAGTGAAGTTTCCCTCCACCACACAGGAGAATGAAACAAATGCAACCATGCTAGAATATAAGATGCCACCCTGGAGCATTATGCTCCATATTTAATGACAATTAAAAGCATCTCATGGCTGGCAACTTTCTTACATAGATGTACCCAGCAACATTTGTACCTGATGTGACACAGCTCGCAGGTGCAAGGAAGGCTGCAGACCTCCTCATGTGGGATCAAGCCCATATGTGCACATAACCATTATTACTCAGGATAATTCAATTACCTGTCATAATAGGGGATCCTTGTATGAAAAAGGGTTGCCAAGTTCAACTTATTTCCATTTTGGGGACAGATTCTGGCATGTAAGGTGATACGTTGAAATCTGATGCAAAGTGGGTTTTACCCCAGGTGTTTTTTCCCCTTCACAGACCTGTGTGCTCTGCTAAGGAGAAAAACCAGTGCTCATTTGAAAGTGGCCATGCTCTGGTACACGTCCTGCCTTTCCCAAAGTTGCCTACATCTGTAATGCAGTGATTGTGCCTTCCCTTATGTTGGTTTGAGGATGGTGGTGATGGGTGCTGGAAAGTGGGGAATGGATTTCCATTATCCCTTGGGAGAACCGGGGCCTGCCACCAACCAATCCCAATATCCACAGCCCTGCTGGATGTGTCATACCAAGGTTTCCATAGGTCCCAGCTCAGTGCTCAATGGACTGTAGCCTTCTCTAATGGTTTATGCAGCTGGCAGATAGCTGTGAAACACAGTTTTCACTACAGGCTTTCAGATGGGAGTGGAGGAAATAATTATTTTTTGGAGATACTGTACACCTTCTTCTCTTGCTTGCCTTGTCCCCATCTCTTCTAAAAGTTGGAAGCCATGCAATTCGCTTCCTGGGAATTTGCATTATTCCACATTTCTAGTACTCTTCCCTGGCTTGCCATTCTGCCTGTGTACACAAGACGTAGGCACCTCCGAGATTGGCTTACGTGTCAGAGCAAATAGAGCCTAAGCAGAATTAAAAGGTAGCTTGCTTCCTTGGAGAACATTAATGCTTGAAAATAATTGGATGCTAATTTTCACTCTGAAAACCAGTGTAGGTTGCATTGTAAAAGTGAGACTATTTGCTGACCATCTGCCAGCCTACCTGAGTGAGGAGCTGAGCAGATGTGACCGGCATCTCATAACACTTTCATCAGGATTTCTCTTTTTTGATTCTCACAGTTTCTGACCAATACAATACGATATTTGCAGCTGTATTCTGCTACTCCTCCTTGAGCAGTACCTTATTCCACAAAAAATTTTTTGTTCATTGGCATTGCTTGAGGAGTATTTGAAACCTTTGCCCCTGCAGCAGCAGGGTAGCACAAGTCATTATGGAGGCCCAAACTGTGGGGTTTCAAAGCACAGCCAGATCCTGACACAGCTTCCAGGAAGTACAGTTCAGAATAACTGAGCACTGAATCGGTGCAGCTGATGTCAAGACCTGCAGTTTGGTTTATTTGGTGCTTATGTCAATAAAACTCCAACAGGGCTAAATCCCAGATTCCTTGTTCCTTTTTTTTATGGTGTTTATTACTGGTTTAGCCTTTATTTCCCATTTTTTTTACAGTTCAACAGCTGACCAAAGACTTCATATTTTGTACCCTCACAACTGTAAAAGTTATAGATGCACATTATTCTATACCACCCCTGCTAAGATCATGATAAAAATTTATCTGCTTGGAAACAAAATATAATTGCTACTTTTTTACTCTGCTGATTAATAACAATGACAGATCTAAACAGTATTTTATTTACCTGTCAAAACCATCTGAATTTGCTGCAGCTGTGGGCAAATTTGCTGGGCTGCATCACAGTAACAAGAACAAAAGCCTTCATTATAAATTGACTGTTAGGCGCTCTAAGCTTATTTACTCAGATAAAATGACAGTGAGTCTCCAAAAGATGTTTTAATCCTGTTTTGATATAAAAAAATCCTAACCAAAACAACAGCCAAAAAGGTTTCTTAGTAATCTGGCTTTGCAAGTAGGTTTTATTTAGTATCTAATGCAAAGTAAAATTTTAGGGATTTTTGCTTTAAATTTATGATTGCCCAACATGCATAATATTTCAGGCTGCTGAATTCTTATATTTTAAGCTCCTCATGTTGGTTTGTGGCTCTTATGGGTAAGCTGATTCTTCCATTTAAAAATGTCCTGAGGACTATAGGAAGGAGGGAGACTCATTATTGTGAAGCTGTTCTGATCCTTGCATGTTAGTCAAAAGAAACCAGGGATGTGGGCAAGAAAAGAGTGGATCTGATGACCAGGGGATCACAGCATCTGGACTCGTGTTTTGAGGGCATTTCAACTGCTCTGGTCTGGCAGTTGAAAAAGGCAGCTGCTTTCATTGAAAATGAGAGATAAACATGGTTGAAGCTGACTGAACTCAGCTCTTGGCAATGGCATTTCCTTTCAGGGACTTGTTTGGCATTTTCAAAGGTTTCAATGACTGAACGTCCTGCACCATTGTGTCAGCAAATTCTGAGACCCTGGATTGAGCAGCAAAGCTCTGGGGAAAAAGTGAGGAAGAAAAATGCTGGAGTATTTTCTTCTGTTTTGGTTAATGCTTAGTGTTTGTAGAATTTTGTCTGCTTTCCTGGATCTCTGACAATGTTCTGCAAGAGAAAGAAACTAAGATGAGCTCCTCTCTAACAAATGTTTTACAGTATTTGGTATGGTTCCAAGCTGAAAGCAAGTCATGGGGATTACCAGCAAAAGGCATGGGTGAAAAGTCCTTTTGCATCAGGGGATAAACTGTTAGCCCACGTCACAAGGAGTTAGCAGTGCTGTGGAGTTTAGGGTCTCAGAAGTGGTGCTTTCAGCTATACTGAAAATAAATAGAAAACCATTCTTAAATGAAACTGAGATAATTTGGAAAGCCATGTGTTTCAAGGCTTGCTTGTTATATTGTCAGTTAGAGCGTGTGCACATCTTTTCTTACCTATCATTTTCAAGTCTGCATTTCTCTTTCTCTTTTTGGGGGAAAGATGCTGGAAAGATGGAGCTTTGAAAAGTCAGTAGTGGTAGATTTAGTTGGCTATGGAGGATCAGAGAGAGTAGATTGTGGACTCTTACCTACAGGCTGGTAGCTTGGACTTAGCTCAGTATTCAGTAGAAATGCTTGGATGAAGACTATTTTTCCCACCAAATTTCCTGCTAGACTTTTGGGACACCAGCCTTAATATGAGAACATGAAGACCTTCAAGAAAATTGGAAGGGAAGACAAAATGGATATTGAGACATGCATTTCCATGTGAGATGTGACTAGGCTGTGGAGGACCCTGCTGCAGGACAAAAAAGCTAAAGTTTAATGAATTATTATAAAGCCATGTGATTTTTATGAATACCTACAATCGTCACAGTTAATGATAACACTTCTTAAAGTAAAATTCATCCTTCACATCTGAAGCCAGTCTAGAGATCAGGGTAAGACTGTCGAGGAGCAGGGCCCTGGGGCTGGTGTCTTGCCCCACAGCTCACCAGCCTCCTGTGCCTGACCAGTGAGATCCACTCCTACAGGTGCGTGTCTGGATTTCATGCTCTTGTAAAGTAATGTCTTCAGTGTGTAGGCACCTGCCATGTTCAGGACTTCTCTAGAATTAAAGTGACCTCAAATTATTCATCCTGGACTAACACACATTCTTGGGGCCCTGGGTAGGTTCAGGGCATGGTCAGTAGCATTGAACAGCTGGTCATTAGCCTGTGTTACTTGAAATAGCTGGTGAGAATCTCAACTTCTTCCTGGTACAGACATGAGCAAAAAGCATCATCAGCTCCCTGCATGGTAGGGTCTGCAGAGAAGGCATGAGCTAAGGTCAGGAGATATTGCTGGAATACAGACTGGTCTCTCAGCAGCACAGAGGAGTGGAGGGGGTGTCTGGGATACCTGATTTCTGATTTGCAATGTTGCAAGATTGAGGAAAATGAAGTACTAGAGTGAGACAAAAAGAGGCAGTCTGTGTCAGAATTCAGAGCACAAGTATGATAATGAATGAGTAGAAGAAGAAACAACTGTGCAACCATTATCAGAAGCGTGTCCAAAGCCCCGAAAACTTGCAAATATAGATGTTGGTGCTTTATGGGGTCTGTCCAAACTGGCTAGACCATTAGGACATTGTTTTCAAATGTGTTGAATCACATGACAGTGCAGGCTTCCATCCATGACCTTTTCATAGGTGTGTTTCCACAGGATTCTTTTCTTTGCTGTTAGAAAGAGAATAATTCGTTAGAAAACAGCCAGTCCTGCTAAAACTGAAGAATAAAAGATGCTCGAATGCAGCCATTTAGATTTCAATCTATATTTTGTAATTTATGGGAGAAAGAAAGAAAAAGAGG